GTGTATTTTTGGTTTAGTGTGGTGGCACTGAGACATTTATCTTCGTTGTGGTGTCCGGCAGCCAAAGCCTTCGTGGTAAATGTCGTCGGCACCAATTCGCGGTCTTCCTTTTTGCGTCGTGGTGTACACATCACCTGAAGTGTCTTCGTGTTTCGTGTCGGCTGTCTGGTAAGTGGCGTTCTGCGCAATTGTCATTGCCTATCATTTATAGTACCGTGTTCTAGGGTGGTCACTTGCCAACAGCCAGTTGTGATTAACGTGGTTTTCATTCGTATTGTCTTCGTCTGCGCTGTAGACCTATCTTCGTGGTGACTGTGCTTGGGTGGTCGCACGTACCAATTCTGTGACTAATTTTATTCACATATAAACTGAGGTGTGCCGTCTAAGGCATTTGTCTAGTCACAGGGTTGGTGCGGTCGCGTGGATGCAATCAGCCATTCAACATAGTCACATATTAATGTGAGTATTGGTCGACCATATTTGTTTCATTGTGTTAAAGGCCGACGGGCCTCAGCCGTCGTAGGCATAGTATTTATTTGATATTTTTTATTTATATATTTATTGTTGTGCCACTGTAGGGCCAACACTTGTATTATTTTTATTATTTGGTGTGTGCCGTGGACCACACATTTCATTTATCTATTTACCATTTATTGTTTTTGCATTGCCATTATTATTATAAATTTATTATTATTACTGTTTTAACATAAATTAGAACTGGCTGTGATCTTTATTATTATTATATTATTATTCTTGTATCAATTAAATTTATTATATCAACTATACAGTTCACAATTATTTTATTTTCTTGTTAATTATTAATTATTATTATAAATTCAAGTTGCGCCCAAGCTGCTCAAAACTATTTCGAGCACTTCATGCGCTAACATTTTGGTGACCTCGACGTGATCTAATGTAGATCAGTTTAGTTAACATAATATTATTGTGCTAGGTAAATTGAATGCCTTAATATTATATTGTTCAGTGTATTATTTTTATTATTACCATAAGCAAGGTTCATATTGTAGTCAGAGGTAGATAATTTGTTCATAACTGGTGACAATGGACTTGCAACTAGAAGTATCAAGCCTCGAACGCAGAAGACAAGCGTCTATTGCAACGCTGGATTCAATTGTAGCATTTGTCACCAACTATGTGCCATCCAAGTCTGGTGCTCAACGTGCCATTGTTCGATTGGATGATATGCCACACTTGTACAAGCGATTCGATGATATTCAATCCCAGTTGGAAGAAATTGTTGAGAAAAACACCAATTTACATATTAGTATTCGTATTGCCTTTCGCGAAAAATATTTTGATATGGTAGCAGAGTTACAAAGTTTAGTTGGCGAACAAGACAAGCTGGATAAAGAAGAAAATAAAGTGGACTAATTTGCTAATTGTCATTGTTCAATGAAATTACCCGCTGTGACAGCCCCTACGTTCAGCGGTGCACTTCAAGACTGGACATCATTCATTGATGCGTTCAACGCTATGTTCCATAGTAACAGAAGTCAAGCTGATGTTCAAAAATTCCATTACCTGAAATCTTGTCTATCTGGCTCAGCGTCAGATGTTGTCAAAACTATACCAACGACAGGAGACAACTACAGCAGGGCATACGACACGCTAGTTAGTCGATATGAGAATAAAGGACTGATCATACAATCTCTCATTCGATCGTTGTTAGATGCACCACGAGTACAAGTGGCATCTGCCGTTGAGTTGCAAGCTCTGTATCATCATGTGGTATCGCATGTATGTGCATTGGAGGCCTTACAACAACCGGTTATCCATTGGGATGCCTGGCTCGTCACATTGGTTTGTAGCAGGTTGGACAGCTTCACTGCAGGCGAGTGGCAGCTACGACAAGTGTCATGAGAGCTCCCAAAGTACACTGATATTGAATCATTTTTAATAAAACGTATACTAGCATACGAAGCCGGCGAAAACACTGTGACGACTGAAATCAAGGTGCAAGTACCCAAGCAAGTGATGCAAAAACATCCAGAGAGGCGTGTCTTGTTAGCCAACATTGAGCTAAGACAGTACAACTGTAAAGTATGTTCAGAACCACACAGGCTGTACTAATGTGAGCAGTTCAAAAATATGTCCATTGCTGATCGCAAACTTGTTGTTTCAAAAAACCGATTATGCTTTAACTGTTTGTCATATGGACACCAAGTATTTCAATGTAAGTACAGTCATTGTAAAAAATGTACAAAGAATCATAATACATTACTTCACGACGACAATGCTTCTCACGGTCAATCTTCAGCAACAAATGACAGTTTGCAGCAACAGTCCAATAACTTAGTAGCTATGTGTGCTGCTTATGATCATTCTAAGACACAAAATACCATATCACTCACTCAGCCTCATCAGGTCATGTTAGCAACAGTAGTGTTTACCATTATTGACAGTCTGGGTATATCAAGACCATGTAGAGCAGTGCTAGATTCTGGTGCTCAGCTTTATGACCCAAGACTTTGTTGAGCGATTCAAGTTAAGTAGTGACAATACTCAAATTCCAATCAAAGGAATAGGTAATTTAACCACTTACACGTCTGGAGTAGTCACAACTGACATAATATCAAGGATTAACAATTATGAAACCAAAGTTCAATTTCATGTAGTTAAGAGTATTACTCATGCTTTACCAGCATCATCGCTTGATGTTCGTAAAATCAACATTCCAACAAGTCTTCAAGGGCAATTAGCAGACTTAAAATGGAATCAACTATCTGAAGTAAATGCTCTGTTAGGTGCTGATGTATTCTATGAACTATTTACAGGCCAAAGGGTTAAGATATCCAATCAATCCTCGTTACATATTACTATGTTAGGGTGGATAGTGACTGGTAAAACCTATCCTGCTTCATATGGCCATCAGGAAACCAGTGTTGTAGTGTCGCCAGAGCATACATCAGACTCAATTTCCTTGTACTCTACCAAAGTTTCAAGACATTTAGAAGAAGAAGAATTAACCGAAAATCACTTCAAATCACATACGTATCGAGACGATGATGGTCGGTTTGTAGTGAGGTTGCCCTTGTCTAAGGATGTGTGTATGCTCAGAAACTCAAGGTACATTGCAGAAAAACGATTTTTAAACATAGAACGTAAACTTCAGAGAGACAAAGCATTAGCTGATGAATATCAAGCATTCATGAGAGAATATTTACACATGGGTCATATGAAACTGGTCAATAGTAGTGAACTACCATCTACATCAACCTATTATTTACCACATCATGCAATGAAAAATCTGATAGTATTACCACTAAAACTAGAGTTGTTTTTGATGCGTCAGCTACTACAACTTCTGGCCTATCACTGAATGACATAATGATGCGTGGGGCTACAGTACAACCAAATTTGGTATCAATTTTACTTAGGTTTCGTACTCATAGCATAGTGTTAACCGCTGATGTTGAGAAAATGTACCGCCAAGTAAAGGTACATCCTAGCGATTGTGATTTGCAGAGAATACTATACCGTGACAACCCTGTGAAACCTATGCAAGAATATCAGTTACTTACAGTCACCTACAGAACCAAGTCAGCTCCATTCCTGGCAACTCGGTGTTTGGTAGAGTTGGCCAACAGTGAAGAAGATGCAACTGCGAAAAGATCAATACTTCAAGACTTTTATGTTGATGACTTAATGACAGGTGGGTCAACAGTCGATGAGTGCTTTAAGTTGTACACGTCAGTGTCAAAAACATTAATGAGTGCTCAAATGCCATTAAGGAAATGGTGTTCAAATTCACCTGAACTACTGTCAAAAATTCCAATGCAAAAAGTTGATCCTCATTATGTGCTCATGCTTACGGACCATGACACTATCAGCACACTTGGAGTTATGTGGCAGCCAAGCACAGATAGTTTTTTGTTCAACATGAGACTATGGAAACCTCCGGCTCAAGTGACAAAGAGATCCATGTTATCAGACATTAACAGAGTGTATGATCCTGTTGGGTTCATCACTCCCATACTCATTACAGGAAAAATATTTGTACAACAGTTATGGACACTGAAGTTGGACTGGGATGCCATATCGCCTAAAGACATTCAACAAAAATGGTCCACATATTATCAATCACTGAGTGCCTTAAACAGTCTGCAAATTCCTAGATCAGTTGTTGCTGGATATCAATCTAGCATTCAATTGCACGGGTTTTGTGATGCTTCACAAGAGGCCTATGGCGCTTGTGTTTATGTGAGGACAGCCACATCCAGCAAAACTTGGGAAACCAGACTGTATGCGTCGAAATCATGAGTCGCGCCCATACACCCTACTACGATACCACGCCTCGAGTTATGTGCCGCTGTGCTTTTAACAGAGCTCATGAATGAGATCAACATAGAGCTGAGTAAGCTTGGTATTGTAGTAGGTCCTGAATGTATGAATTATTGGTCAGACTCCAGCATTGTAATTGCATGGATACACAGTCAGCAATTGCTGAAAACCTATGTTGCGAATAGAGTAGCACAAATTCACGACCATACTATTAAGGAGCAATGGAGACATGTATCGACCACTTGCAACCCGGCAGATTTGATATCGAGGGGCGTGCCCGTTGAATCATTGCAGCACAGTGAGCTCTGGTGGAATGGTCCTCAGTGGCTTAATAAGGATGAGTGCACTTGGCCAAAAAGTTCCGTTGTCACTACAGACGTAACCGAAGTACGCACAGTAAAGTTAGTACTTACAGCAACTCACGAGGTAAATAATCCAATACTTGAAAGGCAATCCAGCTGGTTACTATTAATTCGAATAACAGCCTGGATTCTACGCTTTGCACACAATACAAAAACGTCTGCCAATCATGAGAAGATCAACGGACCACTGACTTTTAAAGAACTACAGGCAGCACAACTCGTATGGTTCCGTATTGCTCAGCCAGCTGATTTTCCTCGTGAACTGCATGATCTTCAAAAAACACGCCAAGTTGCTCGTAAAAGTTGTCTACGGACATTAAACCCGTTTATTGACGTAGATGGACTTATTCATGTAGGAGATCGTATGACAGCTACGTCATTGTCATATACTATCAAACATCCAATTGTCATTCATTCCCGCCACAAAATCACTCGGTTATTTTTTAAGTATGAGCATGAAAGACTTTTACATGTAGGTCCTCAAGCTCTGCTCGCTCAGATGCATCGGTTCTGTTGGCCCATTCGTGGTAAGGCGTTAGCTAAAACTATTGTTCATAATTGCATTACGTGTTATCGATTCTCGCCGAAATTGCAAACACCACTGATGGCTCCTTTGCCAAAGGAACGAGTTAAAATTGAGCGACCATTCTTCAGGAGTAGCGTTGATTTCTGTGGCCCAGTACATATTAAAAGTGGGATTAGACGTGTTAAGTCCATTAAGTGTTACATTGCAGTATTCATATGTTTTGTAACAAGAGCAATACACCTAGAACTAGTGACAGACATGACATCAAATGCGTTCCTGGCAGCGTTAACGAGGTTCATGTCCAGAAGAGGCACCTGTTCACATATTCATAGCGACAACGGAACAAATTTTGTTGGTGCCAACAAAGAACTCAGGAACTATTTTCAAAACAGTAACGCAACTCGAGCAGTGAATGACACTCTCGCCAATCATAGGGTACAGTGGCATTTTAATCCTCCATCTGCTTCCCACTTTGGAGGACTGTGGGAAGCAGCGGTAAAGTCAGCAAAACATCATCTGCTGAAAGCAACCAAAGGCGCATTGTTAACTTTTGAAGAGATGAGCACATTATTGTGTCGTGTAGAGGCTATCTTGAATTCTCGACCAATGACATCAATATCCAGTAACCGAAGTAATCTAGAAGTACTTACTCCTAGCCATTTTCTCACAGGCGGACCAGCTATCTTACCACAGGAGCTGGATGTATCAACAATCCCAATTAACAGGCTGCAAAGGTTTGAGCTAATGAGAGCACAAATTCAGACATTCTGGAAAATATGGAGCCTGGAGTACACACCTCAGCTACAGAAAAGAGGACGTTGGGCATCAATTAGTCGTAATGTAGAGTTTGGGGATCTTGCTATTCTACAAGAAGATAACCTACCTTCATTACAGTGGAAGTCAGTACGAATAGTGGCAACTCATCCAGGAAAGGACAATGTAGTACGGGTAGTTACTGTGAAGCTAAGTACAGGCACAGAGTTGAAGAGACCAGTGGCAAAATTAGCATTGTTACCCACACCAGATGAATACAACGAAGAGGACAACAATCACATGATAGGGTAACCATGTTATTCCATTATAAACCAATGGTCACGAATTGGCACCATTCATTATATTATTTTATTTATTTAGTTCACATATTTTCAATGTATTCAATTTATTCACATTTGTATTGTAGTTAGTATTTAGTCAATTAATTCAAGTGTATACGTAATTAATTGTGCAATTTGTATTCAGAAAGAATCTCACAATTTTAGCTTAAAAGTTCCACCAACTTTCAAAGGGGGGAAAATGTTGTGTTTAATTGTCATTTATGTTATCATTTTCGTGCAATGTATAGCGGTGCGTTGCGTATCCCCGGCGGTGATAAGCCTCCGTGCGCGACCGGTCGGGTTAGGGTTACGTAATCGTATTGTTATCGTCGTACGAAAATGCCCGTTATTTCCACGTTTTCATATTGTCGGTTATGTTTTTGTAAAAGTAAAAGTCATGTTCTCAGTGCCCAAGTTTCGTAAGTTTTCGTGTATTTTTGGTTTAGTGTGGTGGCACTGAGACATTTATCTTCGTTGTGGTGTCCGGCAGCCAAAGCCTTCGTGGTAAATGTCGTCGGCACCAATTCGCGGTCTTCCTTTTTGCGTCGTGGTGTACACATCACCTGAAGTGTCTTCGTGTTTCGTGTCAGCTGTCTGGTAAGTGGCGTTCTGCGCAATTGTCATTGCCTATCATTTATAGTACCGTGTTCTAGGGTGGTCACTTGCCAACAGCCAGTTGTGATTAACGTGGTTTTCATTCGTATTGTCTTCGTCTGCGCTGTAGACCTATCTTCGTGGTGACTGTGCTTGGGTGGTCGCACGTACCAATTCTGTGACTAATTTTATTCACATATA